CCAGGGGGAAATTATTTTCGTTATTCTCTGGATTTACCAGTGGGGGAAAGAAACTAAATACATTTACTCAAGTACTTGTGTGAAATTCTGAGGTACTAACTTGAGTATTACCATTTTTTTATTAGTTTATTAACAGGTTAAGATTTAAAAAGAAATATATCAATGAATATAGTATGACTCTGTCCATGGCGCTCCTGCTGGGCGATATACCGGGTGAACAAGGTACATTTATTTCCCCATATGATATTAATTTTTCATTTGCCGCTGTGCTGAAACAATAGATGCAGTAGAACATTTGAAAAGTCTTTAAACACCTAAATACTTTAATTATGTCAGTTTATACTGTTTCTATTTTTATGTTTGGCTTTAATATCATCTTTTTTTATTTTTAGGTTGTGGTTTTACTATGTTGTGAAATCGTTCACATTCTGATTCCTTTATATACAGTGATCAAAGCCTTCAGTATGTACATGGAAATGTTTTATATTCTCTGTGCTCCTCACAGAATAAGCCAGTATAAACCTATATAAAAGCTCTGTCCTGTACAAAAATGAAAAATACCTTCATATACTGCCAGAATCTGAAAACTATCAGGCTGCTTCGAGCTCTGGCTCAATCCTGTGTTTCTATCTGACTCTGTGGTGCTGAGTCCTACAATATTCCTGTTAGAGGAAATCAGTCAAGGTGAAAATAACATGACTGTACTTTTACAAGGCTGAAATGTCGGCGGGGGAATATTATATATATATATATATATATATATATATTTTCTTACTGGATGTTGCAGGAAGATCAAAGTGCAAGGAACACAAAATACTGTAAGTCCCAACATGAATATATGAATAGTAACACACTGTAAGTCACAGAGGGAATCCCGGCCACAGGCATTATTACAGAGCTCAGCGGGGATCCACAAACACAGGTCACGACAAGAATACCATCCCAGAAATATCACGGGGAATATCACGGGAAATGTGAAGGGAATCACTTTTGTCAGAGCTGGTGGAGTGTCAAGTCCAAATATTATATAAAAACTGATGGGTTTCTATTGAGCCTCACACAGTGCGTCATTATGTGAATATAATGTTACACACTGTGATGTAATGTGGATGCAGAAAATGTTACATACACATATTAAAGGAATACAGTAATAAATGAGATCCCGCAGGGTCCGGCAGCCGGGTCTGGCACCCGGTCCCGGGGCGCCCCTGGGTGCGGGGCTCACTCACCTATGTTGATGTTACTTGGGAAACTTGTGCCGCTGCAGAGCCCGAGCAGCGGCAGCAGCAGCAGCGGGAGGAGGACCGAGGACACCGGGAAGCTCTGCAGCCGCATGTTTCCTCCAGCAGCACCGACAGGAGACACGGAACAACCGGCGTAATCCCATTCACAGCGGAGCCGGCACAGATCCACCGCAGCCCGGCCACACACTCACACATCCACCGGCAGTCTGCTCCAGTCTCTCTGTCTGTCTCTCTCTCTGTCTGTCTCTCTCTCTGTCTCTCTGTCTGTCTGTCTCTCTCTCTGTCTCTCTCTCAGGGGTTCCCTCTCAGC